GTGGGCTCTCAGCAGAGCATGTGTCCGCCCTGAGTCCTGGCAGTGCAGGGGTGGGGACGGGGCTCCCCCCGTGGGCTCCCAGCAGAGCCTCTGTCCACCCTGAGTCTTCATGCTCGGTGTCCCCAACACAGGTGACACACCGTGAGACAGGCGAGGTGATGGTGATGAAGGAGCTGATCCGGTTTGATGAGGAGACCCAGAGGACATTCCTCAAGGAGGTCAGTGGTAGAACCGTCGCGTCCCCTGGGACTGACCCACAGGTCCCCACTATATTCCCCCATCAAGGCGGGGCGTGACGGGGGGTTCACAGAGGATATGGCCCTCGGGACATATGAGAAGAACAGAAAGTACCTGCCGGGAGGGAGAGGCATCCCTGGGCCTCCCTGGGGGAGGGGCTGCCCAAACGAGAGCACAGCACCGGTCGGCTGTGGCAGGGGCTCTGGCGGACTTGGGGCCCCCCGTGTCTGCGACTGTCTGTGGGATGGAGCTGCAAGGCCAGCTTGGACCAGGCAAAGCCCCGGGCCCAGCCTGTTTGTACCCTGCCAGGTGAAGGTCATGCGATGCCTGGAGCACCCCAATGTTCTCAAGTTCATCGGGGTGCTCTACAAGGACAAGAGGCTCAACTTCATCACCGAGTACATCAAGGGGGGCACCCTCCGGGGCATCATCAAGAGCATGGTGAGTCCCCCAGAGCCCACCCTCTGTGTCATCCCTGCCGCCCCCACTGTGTGGCCCCGGGCAAGGCAGCTCTTCCTCGGGCCTCAGTCTCCTCATCTTTCCAGTGGGGACTGGCCGCCGGGGTCTCAAGAGCCCTCTAACCCCTGCGTCTGAATAGAACAGGGGACCAAGTGACGCCCATGCTGGGGAAAAGCCAGAGACCAGGGAGGGCGGCCACTTCCCCGAGGGGAGCACAGGCTGTCCCAGGGCAGCTGTCCCAGGGCAGTTGTCCTGCAGCCAAGGAGTAGCCTGGCAGCGCCAGAGCCTGCCACACCTGCAGCAGGTCAGAGCACCGGGGAGCTCCTCCCAGGTGCCCACCCGCAGCAGGCCTTTGTTTTGCTTCTGGCAGAACTATTAATCAACCATTTTTACTATTTAACACGTTCTATGAAGTTCAGAACTTTCTTTAAGGACTTGAATGAAATGACAAACCCATCTTTGGAAGTAAAGTGCTTCGAGGAACCAGTGGATGATGTAATGGTTATGTCACTGGACGCCCACATAGTCCATGTCAGTTCAAGTCCTGGACCCAGAGGCTTAAAACCACACTAAACATGTGTGTGTGCACGCTGCCCAAAATCCTGAGAGGAGATTGGAGGAGAAGGAATTGCAGCTTGGCTATTCCTCCTAAGGAATGATTTCTTGCTTTCTGTCTCTCTGTCTCTCTCTGTCCCTCCTGCAAGCGCACACACCCTATAGCAAAAGAATGTCAAAAAAAGAAAAGAAAGAAAGAAAAGAAATGAAGTGCTTCAGGCCACCTGGTGGCAGGGCGGTTAAGGGAGCTGGATCCCACAGGGCTGACTGCGCAGATCATGTCCAGACCTGGCAGCTGGAAAAAACGCTGGGCCTGTGTGCACATGTGCCCAAGATCCCAAGAGCAGAAAGGATTGCGCTGGGGCCATCTCCCCGGGGAGTGCTTTCTCACTGTCTCTCTGTCTCTCCAGCAAGCGCATGCATCCTATAGCAAATTAGAAAAGAAAAGTAAGTGCTTGGAGAAAAGCCTCTAGCACTCCCGGGCTGGACAGCGCCCCAGGGATCCAGCCCTGATTTCTGCCCCATTTCAGTATCACCCCGAGACCATTGGATCTCATTCCCCATTCTGAGCTTCTGATTGCTCCTTTCTGGGTCAGATTCCCTGGCATTTACCAAAGCCTGGGCCCTGGGGGCTCCTGACAGGTGTCACATCTCAGAAGGGACTCTTCAGTCACATCTGTTATGGGAACACAGGGCTCTACACCAAGTTAGGCTTTCTAGCTGCCCCCTAATTTCTATTCATAATAGAAAGCACTTGCTCACACATACAGTGGGGGGAGAGGCACCCTCAGCCCAGTCTTACCACACCGTGGTCCCCTTTCTCCAACCTTCCAGCTCCCCAGGATCTTGGGTGCTCCCACACACCCAGTGTGTTTTCAGGCCAACCCCGGGATCTGCACCTGTGGTTGACTGTACAGCTTCTAGCCCACGTTGCTACCAGCTGTGCCACCAGGCGGGGCCAGCTCTCTGAATTGTCACTGCGCTCTTAGACTCTAACCCTCTTGCTTGAGGTCTCCAAGGGACAGAGTTAGAGAATGAAGCATCTCCTCAAGTGATTTCGAGGCCACAACCCCACTCTCCTGGGGTGACGTGGCGCTGATGGTCTGTAGGTGACCTCGCCAGCCCTTCTGTCCCTGCCTGTCGGGAAAGGAGGTTCAGATCTTTTAAAAACCTGATAGGGTATGATTTTGCATGAGACAAATACAGCTTTTTTCCTCAGAGGAGTCAGGGTGGCAACTGTAGACTATTGCACCCCTTAGAATCTTCAGCCAGTTCTGTTGGACATAACGTTTATCTGTTGCTCACATACAGCCCTGAGAGCAGACAGTGGGTGCAGAGGAGAGCTGGGGCTCCGGACCCCCGCCCCCACCCCTCTTTTGGTCACAGCTCTTTCTGCCACTGGCCCTCTGGGCTCCATCTGGCCATTCTCTCTCCCTAGGACAGCCAGTACCCATGGAGCCAGAGGGTGAGCTTTGCCAAGGACATCGCTTCGGGGATGGTGAGTGAGCCAGGTGATCCAGCCCTGTTTATAAAAACGTTCTCCCAGGGAATTTAGAAATGGAACCCACAGGGAAGCTCTGAAAGAGGGCAGAGGGGAGCCAGTGAAGACTGGGAAGATGCCTCCTGTGGCCTGATGAGGGTGGGAGGGGAGGGGGCCTCAGGAGCCAGGGTGGGGTGGGGTCCCTGGGTACAGCCACCTCTTGACTGCATCCCCTCCCCCCAGGCCTACCTCCACTCCATGAACATCATCCACCGAGACCTCAACTCACACAACTGCCTGGTCCGCGAGGTGAGCACCTGGGTCCCAAGTACCTGGGGGCTGAGGGCAGCAGGATCCCACCCCGCTCCCCTGAGCTAGAGGTCCCTGGTTGGCCCCTCCTGCTAATTCAAGATGTGGATGGGGAGCAGGCAGACCTGGGTTTGAGTTCTGGCTCTGCTGTTACTCGGTGGGTCCAGCCCTCTGAGCCATTGGTGCTCCCATTTTTGTTTTTGTTTGTTTGTTTATTTGGTTTTTGGGGTTTTTTTGGAGAAGTTTTTGCTACAGGGCGTGTGTGCTTGCCAGAGAGACAGAAAGCGAGAAATCACCCCCCAGGGGGGATGGCCATGCCGCAGTCCCTTCTCCTCCATTCTCCTCTCAGGATCTTGGGCACGCACACACACGCGCTCGGCATGAGTTTAAGCCACCGGTTCTGAGACTCAAACTGTGGTCGACTACATGGGAGTCCAGTGACATAGCCACTACTCTAACTGCTGGTCCTGGTGCTCCCAGTTTTAAGAAGGGCCTCATAACTTGATGAATGAGGAAGTGACACAGAAGCTATAAAGGACCAGGATCATGGTGTTCAGCCGTGGTAGAGTGGCCACAGGCTCTGCTGGGCAGCCCCAAGAACAGGATATCTGCAGCAGGCCACAAGCGTGTGGCTGGAGGGGTCAGGGCAGGTTTCCTGAAAAGGGTGGGTTTGGGGGTATATTTAAGTGTGGGGGGATACAGGCTGGGAGCCTAGGATCTAAGGGTGATTGGGGGGAGCTCATGCTCTCCACCAAAGGCAGAGGTGGGAGTAACCACGCCCAGCTGGGAGGCTTATGTTTCCTAGGAGTGTCATAACAGTGCCACAAACTGGGTGCCTTAAAGCAACAGGCATCTCTTCTCTCAGAGTTCAGGAAGCCTGAAGTCCAAGGTCAAGATGTCACAGGGCTGGTGCCTTCTGGAAGCTGAGGGAGAGTCTGTCCCGCGCCTCTCCCTTGGCTTCCAAGAGCTGCTGGCAGTGCCTAGCATTCTGCCACCCCATCTCTGCCTCCGACTTCACATGGCCCTCTTCCCTCTGTGTCTGTGTGCTCTCTTCTTACAAGGATATCACTCATAGGCTTTAGGGTCTACTCTGATCCAGTGTGACCTTGTCTTAACTAATCACACCCACAGAGGGTCTGTTTCTAAATACAGTCGCATTCCAAGGTTCCAAGTGCACCTGAACTTGGGGGAGGAGGTGCAGGGGGGATATTATTCATCACACTGAGACAGGTCGATATCCAGTCTTGGAGGAGGAGGTTCTCCAGGTAGGCATTTTCCAGGTGATTTCACAGAAGAGTTTCAGTTGGAACAGTGTACGCAGAGGCCCAGAGGACAGCATTCAGTGATGCACTGCCTGCTATGGAATGAGGGTAGGAGCCTTCCATGCGTCTGGATGCTTCAGCAGCCTCTAGGCTGTGGGATGCAGTGGGCAGTGCCTACAGGGAGGCAGGCGAGGCCAAATCTCAGCCTCCCAGGGAGGATGCCCACACTGCCTGGCAGGAAGTTGCTGCAGGCCTGATGTGCAGGCAGGACCAAGGGAGGGCTGGACTGTTGAGGCCTCATCCCACAGCAGGGGACATCCATTTAGAATCAGCTTTGAACTGAGGCCAGCCCATGACCTGGTGGTTAAGGGTACCAAATCCCACATGGCCAATGGCACAGTTCAAGTCCCTGACCCGACGGCTTGAAAAACATGCTAGGTGCGAGTGCTGATGGGATGGAGAGGTGGAGGAGAGGGGATTGCAGCATGCCCACACCCATCGGGAGGGTTCATTTCTCCCTTCCCCTATCATCTCTGTCTCTCTGGCAAGTACATGTGACCTCTGAGGAAAAAACAATAAAATGGCCATTTGGAGGGGGCATGTGAAGAGGGGACAAAGGTCACATCTCATCATGGGGTATGAAGCCTTGCTGGTGTGCAAGCTCTCTAGACAGCTCCATTTGCAAAGAGCATGGGGTTAGGGAGGGAAAGGAGCCCTCATCCTGCATTGGCCCCCAGGTGTCAGCCAATCCCCCCAGGTGGATCAGAGTAGGGCCCCAGCCAGAGGCAGGCTGGGCAGGCAGTGCCAGGCTCAGGTCTCAGTGCCCCTGCTTTATGTCCCCAGAACAAGAACGTGGTGGTGGCCGATTTCGGGCTGGCACGGCTCATGGTGGATGAGAAGACTCAGCCCGAGGACCTGCGAAGTCTCAAGAAGCCAGACCGCAAAAAGCGTTACACCGTGGTGGGCAACCCCTACTGGATGGCACCCGAGATGATCAACGGTGAGTGGGTGGGTGCTACCTGTCACAGCCCTCAAGGCCCTAGGCTGAACCCAGCACCCTCCCTGGGAGGCTCAGGCTCTGGGGTCCCAGGCAGACCCGGTACCCTGGCCTTTCTTGGCCTCATCAGCCCCTTCTAACTCCAGTCACGCGTGTGAGTTTTCTTATCACTGCTGTAACCTGGTACCACACAGCACATTATCGTACAGTTCTGGAGCTCAGAAGTCAACAGTCTCACTGAGTCGAAACCAGTGTCTCAGGGCTGTACCTTCTGGAGGCTCCTGGGAGAGCTTCCTGCCCCTTCCTCCATGGCCAGGGCCAGCATGTAGCACCTTCTCACTGACTTTTCCCTCCCTGACTTGGACCCGCCATCCTCCCACTAATAAGGACCCTTGTGATTACACTGGGCCCACCAGGATAAGCCAGGATAATCTCTCCATCTCAAAACTCTTTAATTTGGGGCCAGACATTAAAAGATGGACTCATGTAGGGAGGTTACTGGTTCACATGTGGAGGCCTCCCTGAGGATACCCGTCATGCCCATCCCCGTGACCCATGACTCTGGGCCTGCTGAAGCTGGGGGTGGATCACAGCCTCGAGAATCTGTCAGGGATGCTGTCTTTGTCTCTGTCTCTCTCTCACACACACACACACTCAGGTTAAATAAACAAAAAACAAAACAACTCTTGGGGCCCAGCAGCAGGTGGTGTAGTGGTTAAGGAGCTAAACTCCCACATGGCCCACCACAATTCTAGTCCTTGGCCTGGCAGCTTGAAAATCACACCAAGCATATGTGTGTGTGTGTGTGTGTGTGTGTGTCCGTGTCCAAAATCCCAGGAGGAGAATGGAGAAGTGATTGGGGTGTGGCCATCCCCCAGATGGGTGATTTCTCACTTTCCCTCTCGCTGTCTGTCTCTCTCTGGCGCGCATACACATCCTATCACAAAAAACTTAAACAAAACAAGAAACACCCTTAACTGAATCCCTTCTGAAAGGCACGTGGAAGGCAGCACGGTCACTGGCCCCGGGGTTATGGCATGGACACCTCTGGGGCGCCTGATTCCTCCTCCCTGGGCCCTCCTCCCTCCGTTCCTTTGTTGTCTGGTCATGTAGACAAGAGATTATAAGGCCATAGGCAGGTGACACACAGACACAGGCCCAGGGCACCCACAGTGACCAACGTTAGTTAGCATAGTTGACAAAGCCCAAATAACCTGACCTATAAAATAGTATTTTTTTCTTAAATAATTATTTTATTTTATTTTATTATTTATTTATTTATTTTAATTTGATCAAAGAGGGACAGAATGAGAGAGAGGGAAAGTAAGAAAGCAAGTTGCCAGGTCTGGGACTCAAACCACAGTCAACTATGTGGGAGTCAAGCGCCCTTAACCACCACATTACCTGCCGGTGCAAAAAAATTTTTTTTAGTTTGCTATAGGGTACGTGCGCTTGCCAGAGTGAGACTGGGGAGGGGAGACTTACCTCCCAGGGGGCAGGACCATGCCACAATCCCTTCTCCATTCTCCTCTCTGGTTGTGGGCACACATGGATCTGGTGTGATTTTTAAGTCAGTAGGTGTAGGAGTTGAACCCTGTAGTCAGCCATGTAGGTTCCAGCTGCCTTAATTTCCATGCCAACTGCTGGCCCACTGGAAGATGGTCCTTCTATTTTTTTTTTTTAAGAATTATTTTATTTAACTTTATTTATTTATTTTAATTTGACCAGAGAGGGACAGAGAAAGTAAGAAAGCAAGCCATCAGGTCTGGGACTCAACCCCAAACCATGGCTGGCCATGTGATAGTCCAGCACCCTTAACCACCACGCCACCTGCCGGCCCCTGTAAGATAGTCTTAAAAGACCCTGTCTTTGATAGATAGCGTGAGGGTGGGCAGTGTGTGAACTTGCCGCTGCCTAGTCAGTACGTGGAGTTGTCTTTAACATTATTGGGCAGATGGCATTCCCATTTTGTGGATGAGAATACTCAGGCTTTGTAGTTGTTTTCTAAAGCTGCTATGACATCATTACAAACTCTGCGGCTTGAAACAGCAGAAAGGTCATCTCTCCTGGTCTGGAAGGTCAGAAGGCTGAAACCTAGGGCCCTGCCTCCTCCAGGTGGCTCTAGGGGAGACTGTTCTTTGCCTCTTCCAGTTCTGGACGTCTTCATTTCTGGGCTACGGCTGCATCACTCCACTCTCTGCTTCCAGCTTCACGTGGCCACTGTCCCTTCTGCTGCCTTCTCTGTCTCTTCTCAGGACACTTGTCATGGCATGTAGGGCCTACCCTAATAAGAAGAATCCAGGTTCATCCCATCTCAGATCCTGAATATAATCACATCTGCAAAGACCCTTTCCCTATAATGTAACAGTCACAGGTTCTAGATAGACACTTGACATTGATCCTCTTGAGGCCACTGAAGAGTCCAAACTTGCCCAGACTTGAGCAGCTAGTCAGTGACCGAACTGGGCCTAGAACTCCTTGGCTAGGGCCTTCATCCTTAGCCCCTCTGAGCTCCCAGAGGGCTGTTCAGACGTGGTGGGGCAGAGTAGAGCCCAAGCCCTGATGCCCGTGTTCAGATATGGTGAGGCAGAGTAGAGCCCAAGCCCTGATGCCAGTGGAGGTTGCTGACATCTGCCTCCTGGTCCCAGCCCACAGTCAGGGTGTCCACCAGCCGGCCGGTCCCTGGCCCTGCTGCACCTGCCAACAGTTGGTCCCTGTCTCTCTATCCAGGCCGCAGCTATGACGAGAAGGTTGACGTGTTCTCCTTTGGAATCGTCCTGTGTGAGGTAGGTCAGGGCTGAGTGGTGGTGGCGCAGGCTCCTCTCCAGGCTTTTCCACTCCGCACACGCCCAGGCTGCAGGCTAGAGTCTATAGGTGCCTCAGACCAGCGGGGCTCCTGGGAATGGGGCTGCCCACAGCTAGGGGTGGTATAGCCCAGGTCGGCTATGGGGGCCAGGCCCAGAGTGACCTGTCCCCATGCCCCTTGAATGGTACCCAGAGCCCCAGGCCAACGGGCCTTCTGGAATAACTGCTGGGCTTTCTGTTGGATAGATCATCGGACGGGTGAACGCAGACCCCGACTACCTGCCCCGCACCATGGACTTCGGCCTCAACGTCCGAGGCTTTCTAGACCGCTACTGCCCCCCAAACTGCCCCCCGAGCTTCTTCCCCATTACCGTGCGCTGCTGTGATCTGGACCCTGAGAAGAGGTGAGTTGGGTGGAGCCATGGCCTGGGAAAGCCTTGGGGGGTGGGGCCTACCCCTGGGAGAGCCACACCCACTGTCCACCCTGCCTGTCGCACCAGGCCCTCCTTTGTGAAGCTGGAACAGTGGCTGGAGACCCTCCCCCTGCATGGTGTGCG